CCCCCCCCCCCATTCCCACCCCTGAGGGTGGGAGCATTTCCAGGACACCATTAGGCCCTGTGGAGACAGTTCAGGCTGGTCCCTGCCCTGAATTGCGGGTGGGAAGCAGATCAGGGCAGGCTGCCTGGAGGAAGCCTAGGTCTGAGGATTGCAAGGCTCCCAGGAGAGCCGGGTGGAGTCCACAGGAGGCAAGAGTATGGCCGGGGAAGCCCCCCCACCCCTACTCCCAAAGCAGCTGAGAGAGGCTGGAACCAGCGTGAGTGGGGGTGGAAGAGGCCAGTGGGCCGGGCCTCAGAGCCATATGCCTGTGGTCCCTGAAGGGTGTCATCAGAGCAGGCAGGGGTCGCAGGGCCAGGAAGACTGGGGAGAGAAGAGAAGGGGTCTAGGAGGGTCAAATTGGGAGAGTTAGGAGCTCCACTTGGCCGAGACCGCCCCGCCCCCGGCCGCCCCAGGCTTCCCATACTGGGCCTGTGTGTTGTCTGGTCCTCTGTACAAGCTGTTCCTCTGCCAAGGACACCCCCACATTGCCCCTTCCTCACTGGTCAGAGCTGCCAGACCCCCAGAATTCCATGCCCTTGTTGAGGAACTGCGCCAGTTTGGGGTTCATTTTCCTCGAAGCAGGATGGACTGTTGACCTCAAGGCATCCCTGTGCCGGGCCATGTGGTCGCAGCATTGCACCTGGCATCCACCTGGCCCCTGAGCTCCAGGCCATGTCTGGGCCACCTACATGATGCTCCCTGATGCCAAGCTCACCCGACTCCCGCCGGCCTTCTCCTCTCTCTCCCTCACGCAAATCCTGTCGGCTGGTCATTTGCCCCTTTTTCTAGTCCAAGCCGCCACCTGCTTTTGGGGTGATGGCTCCAGCCACCTCCCTGGACCCTCCCTCCATTCCTTCAGCAAATGCTTGCTGAGCATGTGAGAGAAGCATTAGTGAATACCCCCTCCCAACTGACACCATAGTGGAAGGAGACGGTGAAATGGACACTTTGCCATTTCAAATGGGGGGCCCCAGCACTCTCTCCCCGTCTATTCTCAGCACTGGCAGGAGGAGGCCATCATCGTAAGAGCAGCACACCCCACCCAAACGTCTTGTCTCTGAAGCTGAGTGGGTGCTGAGACCCACACGCCCGAGGGGGGCGTGTAGACTGACACCTTGACACCTTCGTCCCCTGTCCTCTCTCTCTCTGCCCCCAGATGACCCGACCATACTCAGCATCCCCCCCAGCCCCACCCCCCATCTTCCTCAAGTGCACCGGCCTTTCCAATATGAGACAATGGTTGGTTTTGCGGTGTCTGCCTCCTACTTGGAGAACCTGTCAGCTCCCGGGCAGGCATATTGATCAGTTGGGTCCTGGCTATGTCTGCCTGACCTGGTCCATGCCTGATGAGTGCTAGCTGAATTCATCTCTACCCTGACTCCGGATGGAGCCCCTCACCTCAAAAGCCAGACAAAGATCACCACCACCCCTGTCTTGACCAACCTTTAGCCAGGCTGCTCCACTGGGCCTCACCCAGTATTAACAAGTGTCCCCTGCCCCTGAGATCTGATCACCTGGCCTGCCTTTAGCAAGGATCCCCCAATGTCTGTGTCTCCCCTTAGCAATCTTCTGTCCATTGACCCCCACTCTGCTTATTGGCAGTCAACCCCCTGCTGTCTTTGTTGGATTCTGTCTCCCTTATTGCAATAGTCACGAATAAAGTCTTTCACTCTCACTTAGCAAGCGTCAGGATAACTTTTCCTATAAACCCTGCCCTTCTCATAATCCCAGGTGCCTGAGGCTGATGGGTGGGGTCTGGGGTCTGCACCACCTGTTGGGAGGGGCCTACTGTGGGAAGGGAGGTGTTTAAGGCCCTTGGAGGAAGAGCAGGAGGCCGGTGGTGGAGCTGGAGCGGACGTCAGGCCTCCAGGTCCTAATCAGGTCAGTTGCCCAGAGAGGCTGAAATCAGGAAGAGGGGGCCGGGGCCGGGGCCGGGGCCTCTGGGAGCTGCTCCCGTGCTGACACATTAACTTCTGAGGCCAGGAGGAGGGTGGATGGTCACTCATTACCGAGGGCCAAGGCCAAGGGGCTGGGTGGTGTCCGGTCACTTATGTAACCTGTGGGCATATATAGGGGCACACGGCCCGTGGGACTCTGACCCACCTGCCAACTCTGCTCCCTCAAGATGAAGGTGGCTGTGGTGAGTACTCCAGACCCAGCGCACATGAGCCCCACTGACTGATCACCCAGCGGCTGGTTGTCCCTCGTGGAGCCGCAGACCCCCGCCCTCTCCAAGCTGGTTCCCACCAGCCTGCTGGTCCCGGTCAAAGGGCTCCCTCCTTCCTGTCCTCCTCCTGCTGTCTAGCTGGGGCAAGGGTCAGCAGCCCCACCCCAGGCTCCCTGCAGACCCAGATCTTGAGAAGGAGATGCCGGGTGCCATGTGCTCCTACGCAGCATCCCGGGCACCCGGGCCTCACCCGGGGAAGCAGGAGTCCTGCTGACATCCACTCTGCAGATAAGGAAATCGGAGCGAGGTCGCCTCAGACTGTCATTGTGCTTGGGGAGGGGCTGTGCCCTGCTGCCTACCTTTTAGGCTCTGGTGCCCTGTGGGGACGTCCTCACTTCCTCATGGAACTGGCATCAAGGCGAAATGGGTTTCATCCTCCACCCAACCAGGGCCCAGACCCCTCCCTGGTCTACCGGCCCGATGTGGACCCAGAGGCAGCCAAAGACAAGGGCAGCTTCCGAAACTACACCGTAAGGACCCCACCGCTTGCCACCCTCCTCCCGCCCTGCCCCAAGCCCAACCCCACCTCAGCCCCATCTTTTCCTGGGGAGCGCAGCATTGTCCCCTTTTGCACAGCTCAGGGGCTGCCTTTGGGCAGCTCCCATTCACACTTGTGGGGCCAAGCCTGGGAGACCAGAGCAGTGGGCCCCAAGGGTGTGAAGGGCAGGGACGGGAGCCTCCCGGCTGACCTTCTGGCTTGCAGTCTGGCCCGCTGCTGGACCGTGTCTTTGCCACCTACAAGCTTATGCACACGCAGCAGACCGTGGACTTCGTCAGGAAGAAGGTACTTGGCAGCTCTCTGCTGCAAGTCCAAGGGTGGGGCTGCCCCCTCCCCCCCACTCCCCCCACCTTCCCCACCCCCCCCACCCCCTGCCCCCAGGCCGAATAGATGGAGAGGGATCGGGCCCTGATCCCGCCAATACCATGGCCGTGCTGACATCCCCTTCCTGGCCTAGCACACCCAGTTTGGGGGCTTCTCCTACAAGAAAATGACTGTGCTGGAGGCTGTGGCCATGCTGGACGGGCTGGTGGACGAGTCGGACCCAGACGTGGACTTCCCCAATTCCTTCCATGCCTTCCAGACTGCTGAGGGCATCCGGAAAGCCCACCCTGACAAGGGTGTGTCCCCTTCCTGGGGTGGGCTGCAGTGCAAGGCCTGATGGGGGTCTTTGCCCTTTCCTGACTTCACCCCTCAGTTCCAAGCCTTCTCCTCTGCCCACTAGCCTTCTCTGTCCCTCTCCCTCCCAGACTGGTTCCACCTCGTGGGGCTGCTGCATGACCTGGGGAAGGTCCTGGTTCTGGCAGGGGAGCCCCAGGTAAGGCCAGAGGTGGAGGGGCGCAGCAGGTTGGGGCTGGGGCAGCCTGGGTTCAGGGATCTGGGCTCTGGAAACCCCCCACGTGGGCAGGGCAGTCACACCCACTGTGCTTGCCTGTCCCCAGTGGGCGGTTGTTGGAGACACCTTCCCAGTTGGCTGCCGTCCCCAGGCCTCTGTGGTTTTCTGTGACTCCACCTTCCAGGACAACCCCGACCTCCAGGATCCTCGATACAGGTGCTCCTCCCTGGCGACTGGTCTTCCTCTTCCCCACAGTGCACCTCAGCCCCTCACCTTCTATCTTTCCCTGCAGCACAGAGTTCGGCATGTACCAGCCCCACTGTGGGCTAGAGAACGTCCTCATGTCCTGGGGCCATGATGGTGAGGCCAGTTAGAGCCGGGCAGTGGGGAAGATGGGGACCATGGTGGGGGCCATGGCTCTGGGTGCTCTGGGGTGACACCTTGTCTCCCACAGAGTACATGTACCAGATGATGAAGTTCAACAAATTCTCTCTCCCACCGGAGGTAGGTGGGGGGAGGGGCTGAACCAAGAACACCCAGCCCTGCCCCGCCCGGCCCGGCCCGGCCCAGTTTAGCCTGGCTCAGTTCGGCCAGCCTGGCCCTGCCCGGCTGGGTGTGACTCCCTTCTGCCCTCAGGCCTTCTACATGATCCGATTCCACTCCTTCTACCCTTGGCACACGGGTGGCGACTACCGGCAGCTGTGCAGTGAGCAGGACCTGGCCATGCTTCCCTGGGTGCAGGAGTTCAAGTACGGCCATTGCTGTGCAGGGCTGGGTGGAGGGGACTGGAGGGTGGGGGGGCGGGGGGACGTGGGGGGCTTCCTCACGAGGCGCTGCCCCTCCCCTGTTGCAGCAAGTTTGACCTCTACACCAAGTGTCCAGATCTGCCGGATGTGGACGAGCTGCGGCCCTACTACCAGGGGCTCATTGACAAGTACTGCCCTGGTGTGCTGAGCTGGTGACCGGCCTGCCCACCCTGCCCAGGCCTGGTCAGGTGCCCTGGGGTGACAGCCAAGGTTGGGGGGACTCCACGTGCACATCTGCGGTCAACACTCCCTGTCCTGGTGGCCACTCTGCCCAGTGGCAATAAAGACCTTGAAGCAGCTTATGAGTCTGACCTTCACTGAGGCGGGGGTCTGTTGTGGCCGCAGTAGCCTCTTGGACATGTGTGTCCACTCCTGCCACCACACGCATCTTGCTCCGCTTGCCAGCTCCGGCATCAGCATCTGGGGTTGCCCTGCCCCTGCTCACATTCTCAAAACAAGTCCTTAAAAACAAGACAAAGCAGAACACTTGATAGCTAGGAGAGCAGACGGCATAAAAGCTCATGGACCGTGTGCAGGATAAGTGCAGTGAGCTCCAGCCACGGATAGCACCCCAGGGCCTTCCCGTGCCCCACGGTGCAGCCCTCGCCTGGGGTTGGCAAACCCCACGTATGTGTCCCTCAGCACTACAGTTTAGCACCGGATTCCCCTCTACCTTCTAGCAGCTTATTTCTTTATATTTCTTTCAATGTTTGTTTATTTTTGAATGAGAGACAGAGCGTGAGCAGGTGAGGGGCAGAGAGACAGAATCCAAAGCAGGCTCCAGGCTCTAAGCTGCCAGCACAGGGCCCAAGGCGGGGCTCGAACTCACGAACCTAGCCGTGAGACCACGACCTGAGCTGAAGTCGGACCCTCCACCGACTGAGCCCCCCAGGCGCCCCTCTAGCAACTTATTTCTTGGACAAAAGTGGATCGAGGAATTTCCTTCTGTCGAGATTTTGCTAATTGTATCCCCGTGGTATTTACTAACATTTCTCCGGTATTTCCTACTGCGTGCACATAGAGGCTTAATCAGATTAAGACTTGGCTTGCGGGGGCAAGGGTGCTTTAGAGGCAGTGGCATATTCTTTCCCAGGGGCCACAGGCTGTCTTTTGTGGTGTGGAAGCCACTCTGTTCGGGTCCACCTAGCAGCCCTAACCCATTAGAGGGCGGAGCTATGATGTCCTGGCCCCCAGCCTCCTCAGTCATCTGAGGGAACACTGCTTAAAGAGAAGCTTCCTCCCCTGCTTGCGATCTGGCTCTCTCTCTCAAAAATAAGTAAGTAAACATTTAAAAAATATTAAAAAAAAAAAAAGAACATGTAGATCTCAGCACATTTGTGCTTTGGTTCCTTGATTTTATCACCCTCGCTGGTACTCAGACCCCCCCTCGGCCAGGGCTGGGGTACAGCTTCCAGATGGCTCCCAGGTCCTTCTGACATGACCGCAACAGTCTCTGGTGGGTGTCCTGCTGTCTGGTGATAAGACACCCAGACTGTGGTAATTTCCTGTGTTTTTGTAACAAATTACCACAAATTTGTTGGCTTAAAGCAAAAATTTATACTCTCGAGTTCTGGAAGCCAGAAGCCTGAGATGACAGTGTTGGGCAGAGTTGTGCTCCCTCCACAGGCTCCAGGGAGGAACCATCCTTGCCTCTTCTGGCTTCGGGGGGCTGCCTGCACCCCCCGGCTTGTGACTCCACCTCTGCTCTGTCTTCTCATGGCTTCTCCATTTACCTGTACCTTCTGCCTCTCTCTTATGAGACACAGTCATGGCACCGGGCCCAAGATGATCCCTCATCTCAATATCCCTAACTTCATCACATGCACAAGATGCTTTTTCTTTTCTTTTTTTAAGTTTATTTTGAGAGAGAGAGAGAGGGAGAGCATGCATGAGTGTACAAGTGGGGGAGGGGCAGAGAGAGGGAGAGAGAGAATCCGAAGCAG